TCCAAATGGCATATGCTGCCTTTCTTGAGGCAGTCTCCCTTGAGCCCCGAGAATTGCCTTTGTCAAGCATTTGCGAGCTGGAGGTCGATGCTGTTGTGTGCAGGGGAACTGCTTTTTGGCCCAGGACCCATTCTAGGTGACTCTGTACATTAATTGTAAATTTCTAGGAATTGGGAGCCAGTAATACAATCCTTATTTTGTATTAGATAAGGCATTTATCTAATTGTAGGGAAAGAAGTAAACCAGTTCACTGCTATGTTGTAAAGGACTACAATATTCACAGCAGCTCTTTTTTTTTAAGCTGAATTAAAAAGAGGAAAATATTTACAGCAAATATTCTGATATTTCTTATTCTTTTTTTAAAGGTAAGATTTCCTTCTTTTTTAAAAATATATGTTTATTGATTTCAGAGGGATAGAAAGAAACATCAATGATGAGAGAGTCATTTATTGGCTGCCTCCTGTAAGCCCCACATTGGGGATCGAGCCCACAACCCGGGCATGTGCCCTGACAGGGAATTGAACCGTGACCTCCTGGTTCATAGGTGACACTCAGCCACTGAGTCACGCTGGCCAGGCTTTCTCTCATTCTGAGAGCTAAAAAGACTGAGTCATATTCTTTAGTCTAATCCCAATTTACAAGTCACTTATTTATTGAGAAGTTTAATTTTCTGGAAGATAAGAGACGTTATTTTAATCATGTTTCTGAAGTATCAAATGAGTCTAGTCTTTAAAAATAAAAAAGGATAACAAGAAAAGGAATTTTTAAGCGACTAACCTGAAAGGATTTTAAAAGACTAGACCAAACATTCACTTACTCCCTCACTCCATTTATTCATTCACTCAAGTCACTTTTGTGAAGCAGCTTTTATGGACATGATACTGAGTTACCTTCTCCTGAGATTTAAATCTCCCTCAAATGAGTCACCTTGTCCTCAGAAGCATGCCCAGAAATAACTAAAATATCAGGTAAAAAGCTACCGTTTCCCCCAAAGTGGGACAGATAAAATAAGATAGAAGTCCCGAAGGTCGAAGGGTCATGTCTCATTTTGGGAAAGGATTGAAAGAAACTGTAGGGATTTGGATCTTGGAGAAAGTAGAAAGAAACCTTCCAGGTACAGGAAGTCATGTGGGCAAAGCAGAAAGACAGGAAAATGGTAAGCTTTTGCTAAGCACTGCATAAAAGAGTTTAATTAGGGTCGATGTGAAGGGAACGGAGAGGCCAAGTGTAGCAGTGGCTGATGTTAAGAAGACTGATTGCTGCCCTGACTGGTTTGGCTCAGTGGATAGAGCGTCGGCCTGCCGACTCAAGGGTCCCAGGTTCGATTCCTGGTCAAGGGCATGTACCTTGGTTTTGGGCACATACCCAGTAGGGAGTGTGCAGGAGGCAGCTGATCGATGTTTCTCTCTCATCGATGTTTCTAACTCTCGATCCCTCTCCCTTCTTCCCTGTAAAAAATCAATTAAAATATATTAAAAGAAGACTGATTGCTATGCTGAGGGATGTAGACTTGGCTGAGGTACTGAGCGATAGTTACTGAAGATCTTTAGAACACACAGAATCATAATCAGAACAGTGCGTCAGGAAAGTGAATGATAAGCCACACCTATTTCAAAGTAAAAAATTAATTCTAAATTCAAATATTCATTATGCCCCAAAATAGGTATTAAGTAAAGTCAGTGCCTGCTAATTTTCCTCTTTTTTTTTTTAACTGAATTAAGTGTGAATCACTAAATGGCAGGTACTGTTCAGTCTCACTGTGGATCAGCTGGTCTTGTCTCCATCTTCGTGACTCTGAAAACAGTGATGCTAATTAAAGATCTTACATGAACTCTAGACACCAGTTTTCCACTGACCCGTGAAGGTCCTACAGCCAGGCCGGCACTGCCTATGAGTCAGGCAGTCGTGACATCTCGTACAGCTTCCTGATGAGGCCTCTTTCCTGCCCGGGTTCTGGCCATTTGAAGAGCCATGCACCTTTGAAAAGTGCCAGAGGGCATTTGCACAAGATCCAGAGGCGTCAGTCACTTGTGATCGTTGTTAAAAATACTGCAGTTAAAGCTGCAGTTGAAAGAGCTGTGCTTCAGGTAGCTCTTTGCAGTTCAGCTAGGAACTTCTCTTGGAGAGCTAGCCAATTTATCATTGGAACAAGGTGATAAAAGTAACAACGGCTAAGACCATAGCACTTCACAGCTCCTGTACCGATGAAAAAGGTCACTTTTCCTAACTGAGTCTCTAGATGCTCTAAGTTTTTAATAAGTAAGAACCAAAGATCAAAGGCAGCAGCTTCAGAATGTAGGTAAAGGAAGGCTAAGAGCAGCTACACATTTGAATAGAGGGAGCATCTTTGTCTTAAAAACTCTTCCCAAGACATCCTTGGACTGTCCCTTAGTCACCAGTGGCCTAGTTCTGAATTGAGTGACCTTGGATGGATTTTTTTGTTGTTAATCCTCACCTCAGGATTTTTTTTCCATTGATTTGTAGGGAGAGTGGAAGAGAGAGGGAAAGACAGAGAGAAACATCAAAGTGAGAGAGACACATCGATTGGTTGCCTCCTGCACGAGCCCTGACCAGGCTTCAGCCTTGAGGAGGAGCCTGCAACCAGGGTACGTGCCCTTGACCAGAATTGAACTCGGGACCCTTTGGTCCAAAGGCTGATGCTCTGTCTACTGGGCCAAACCAGCTAGGGCTTGGGTGAATAATTTAACCTCTTTGAAAACTAGAGTGTTCATTTATAAAATGAAAATTATGCCTTCCATACAGGGGTGATTGTGAGGATGAAATGATTCCATGACTTGTGTTTGCTTCAAAAGTAATACAAGAAAGAAGAAGAGATCAGGATATAAATCAGAATTGATCATTAGGCAGCGATTGTTGACACAGAGAACCAGACACCTAAAAGCTCATTACATTGTTCCGTCTACTGTACTCTGAAATATGTTTGAAATTTTCCATAATTAAAATGTTTTTAAAAGGTGAAATCAGTCAAAATGTGTCTGTAAGGAACAGTATACGTCAAAGGACTAAGGAGTTGGGATAGATTTTGCTCTGAGATTGCCAAATACTTTGAATGCCAAATGGAGTATTTTGCTTTGGGGAAGATTGTTTTCAATGATAAATGAGTTGGACTAAAATTGTTATTTTTTCTGTGTGATCATAATTTGAAAATGTCTGCACATACTCTGTCACATCATAGGGTCTACTTATGAGAAAAATGAAAGAAACAAATTTGAACTTTAATTTCATAAAAGATAATCACATTGAGAGAATGTGAAATATTTTGTGTGTTGGAAGTTACATATGATTATTGTTATTTCTCCTTCAAATGTAGTCAGGTTTACATTACTGGGAAGACATCTGGACTTCTTGGTGTTTTTTATTCTCAAATTTTATTTTATTAGGAAAATGCTGTTTCCATTTGAAAGATGGTTATATTGCTTTACTTTGGCGTACAAGAGCAATTGTTTTAACTCAGCATAAAGGCAGAGTATTTAAACATGCTCAAAGAATGTTCATATCAGGCCGTGTGCTGTTTGTGATTCACATTTCAGGATCTAAGGAATTTTAATTCTACTGAGATTTAGCTAGTAGTTTAGAAAAAGGATTGATTGTACATTAGGATAATTAGGCTTACTTTCAAGAACTGCTTGCACAATCTCGAAAGTGGTTTAAATACATTGAATCTCATTTTGATGTATTTTAGAAAATGCGACTTTCCTTGCAGTAGGTGTCGTCAACCACAGGAATCTTCAAGTTGGGGAATATATAAGCTGGGCTGTGAAAAATTCTCCATAGGGTTTAGGGCCACTTAGATAGTTTTAAGTGAATGACTTTCCACTTCCTTTAACTCCCTACTAATTATCCTTTCACACCTAGTCTTTAATACAATATTTCCCTCCTCATATGATAGAAAGTTCTAACTTTCTAACTCTCACACAGAGTGCTAATACCTTTAAGGGTGAAGAAGGGAATGTATTGGTGTCCTGTTAAGAACTACATGACTATAATGATTGGATAACATATTCTTCTGCATATTGGGTGATTATAAATCCTATCGCTACAAACAAAAATGAAGGACCTGATGGAGTTGTCTAATGATGTATCATTAAAAAATATTTGGTGAAAGATTATTAAGTGATTTTGGCATGTGATTCAGAAGGAGTTCAGAGAATTTGTGGCAATGTTCTAACAAAAGTTCATTTACTTATTTACGCAGACAAGATTTCTCAGCACTAACATTTATAAAAGCAAAAACTGGGATAGTATTGATGCTAAACTATTTTAGCAATAAGTAATATGCACTGACAGATTGTGAATTAGTTCTGAAAAAAATGTCTCATTAAGAGAGGACATTTTAAGAAACTGTTACCCTCGTTTAATAATCATAAAATCTGTAATGTGTTTTTGATGTTTTGATCAATTGTGTTTGAATAATTATAATGATCATTTCAACCAGAAGATTTATTTTGGATAATTAAAGCTTATGTTCTCAGGAGGTCTATAAACCTTTTTAAAATTTAAATTTATATTTTTGTGGCAGGGAAATATGATATGGTGATCAATAAAAAACACTCAAGCATAAAATTGTATTACATTAAGATAAAATTATGTGGGGGTAGTGGTATAGAAATAAAAATGTAAGTGGAAAAATTACCAATGTAAAATTCCTATTACAAATTTCTATTTTCAAAGTTTATTTGTGTATTTTTAAGTGGTGGATATCAATTTACATGTACTATTTAGATTCCATTGGATAGTCAAGAATAGTGGAACAGTTATATTTTAAAAGCTAGTATCCTACTATGTGAGAAATTACACTTTGACCTAGGAAAAAGCTTAGCTCTTGTAAAATAGGAAATGATTGTGTCAGGTGTGTGAGTAAAGGTTGGAAGCCCACTGGTCCACAGCATGTTGAATGCTGCACTGGTTCTGGAAGGAACAGTCTGCATTTGTACAATCCCCATTGAATCTAACTGGAAACACTGCCTTTTGTTCACTAGGACGGTCTGACGCCGCTGCATTGTGGAGCCAGGAGCGGCCATGAGCAGGTGGTGGAAATGCTGCTCGATCGAGCTGCCCCCATTCTTTCAAAAACCAAGGTAATTTCTTCCTAGGTTTCGGGCCATTCGACTGTGCTTAGCTTTGAATCCCTTTCCTGGTTATTCCACGCAGCCTTTTGAGTTATGCAGAAAATGCCATCGTTTCCATTTAAGCAATTAGAGTGGCTGTGTTCACCAAATCTCTGGAGAACCTCAAAATCAGTTTGGGCTTATGAAGCCTTTGGTAAGAAGACGTTCTGCCACAAAGCCATTTCTGCGTGTGTTGTTTTTGTTTTCTTTTTATCAGGAGCACTTAGTGCTTGACTCTACTCTGTGATCGCTTGTTGGGGAAGGAAAGACTATAAGGTCTAGATTCTCTAAAGTCTAGCTACTGGCTCTTTCATCAGCCTCTTGGTTTATTTCGTGAATGTTCACAGACTAGTAACGAGGCCAGGGATGCCATTTGACTGATAAAGTGGAAACTTTGGAAAGATGGCACCTGGCTTGGTGCCACAGGGAAAGTTCACATGCTGAAAAGAACACACATAGATTGCCTAGAAACAAAAATGTTTCCTAAGTGTCTTCCAGATTTTTTAATGGTAAAACCATTTGACCATATTTCAAAAAAGGGAATATTTGTGAATAAATTTTGGAACTACCTCATAGTCACCAGTATTCTTATTAATCAATAATTTTGGAAGCTCTATGGAGCTTTATAAAGAGCCTTAATCTCCCAACATTACCAAAACAAAAAAATTACATGTAACTCCTGTTTGCACCCTAATCAGTGTTTCCTACTCTAGTGAAGATAGACAGGGTGGAGGTGTCTCAACAATTCCATCACTCATTTGAAATGCAGAGTTTAGATTGACAAGCTCTGGAGGTATTGTCCTACAGAAGTAAACAGTCATAATTTCTTATTGTAGTGCTGACATCTGGGTCTCCTGGGTGCTTTCACCTAAACTACCTACCTGTTCCTTTTCCTTTCGTATGGTCCATATCTATCTATCTTTACACCCACCACTGTCTTCTGAGTCACAGCATCTCTCGCTGAACTGTTGTAATAGCTTCATTGCTGGTTCCCCATTTCCCTCCTTGCTTCTCTACAATCCAGTTTCCATTTTGCAGTCAGAGTGGCCATATGAACTGTCCAACCAAGTCACGTCAACCTTGTGCCTAGAAACCTGATTAATTCCCGTTTTTCTCTTTAAAACTAATTTTTATTTTATCAAATAAAATCATTCTATCATCTTTTTTCTCCTATTGTTCATTTCATTATCTATTGATGGGTTTTGTGGGGGTTTTTTCGGAGAAATCTCCTTATTTTTTCTTCTATGCTTTTAATATTCAAGAACAATTTCTTATCCTCTAATAGCTTCTTTTCTTAAAGCATCCAGCGCTTGTTTTATGGAAATAATATTTTATGTCACCTTTCTGAGGACATTTAAGGTACCTTCTCTTTAGTGTAATTCTGCTCCCTCTCATCTGTCCATAATTCCTCAGATGTCTTATTTTCTCTCTGTGGCTTTGGCTCACTCTTTCATGTTGGGGTTTCCCACTCAGGTGTGTTAGGTGGTGGCAGGTTGGAGCGGTCCTCTAAGGTCAGGATAAGGTGTTCTTTTCTCTGGGAAGTTCCATTTTTTGAGAGACTGAATTCTCCAACCTTTGATATGTACACTGGGTGAGTAATTTACAGCAGCGATTTTCAAATTTTTTCATCTCATGGCACACGTACACTAATTACTAAAATTCTGTGGCACGCCCAAAATATATTGTTTGCCTATTGGACAAAAAGAAAAATAGGTATCATTTTGATACATTCACACTGGATGGCTATTGTTGTGTTGACTATTCTCATGTCTTTGTTTGACAATATATGGGGGAAGAGGTCAGTGCCCCTGGCTAAATAGTCAGGTATTGCATGTTTTAAAAATTCATGCTGCACACCAGTTGCAAATCACTGGTTTACAGTAAGGAAAAGGAAAAGGGGCTGTCAGTGTCCCTGTCCTGTATGCATACTTTAATCATAACAACGATAACTCATAGTGATTACTGCATACCAGTTTCTAAACACTTTAATATCTCCTCCCAATAGCTCTATAAGATCCTAATATTACTGTTATATCCTTTTTATAGATTAGAAAACTGAGACCCAAAGAAATAAAGTAGATTCCTCATGACATCTCAGCTAGTGGCAGAACAAGAGTTGGAAGCAGGCAGTCTGACTATAGACAACCAGGCAACACCTGTACTGTGAGCACCTGGTGTCAGTCCAGAGCCTCACCACTGCTCTCTGCTCTGCCTGGGCCTCTGCATCCAGAGTCTTTCTGGCTTACTTTCTCCAGAGACTAAACTTCTGGCTTCCTGCATGGGGGCAGGCATCTGGCTTTGCTGGGTTGGAAGGGCCTGGAGACCTGACAGCTCTGTACACAGGGGAACCAATCCTACTTTCTCGGCATTAAGCCTCATCTTTATCTTTCGGGAGTACTGTGTATCCACATCCCCTGCCTTTGGGGCATCAGAGAGGCAAATCCATTGTCTTTATTACACCCAGTGGCATGCTGGAGCCAGGTCATTGAGCCTATTGTGTACATCTAGTCCCAGCTCCACCTCCAGTAATTTTATGTTGATCGCTTGAAATTGGTCGCTGAGGTCTTGACATCATGGGATTGGCAGATACTACGAATCAGGGCCTTCTTTTTCAAAGAGCTGCTGTTAAACCTTTATCAGCACACCACTGATTATACCCCTCCATGGACACTTAGGTTTCAGCCTTCTTTCTTCTGCTGGGTAAGTTAACACACTTACGTCCTCTTTTCATATTCCAAAATGTATAGACAGTGCCCATCTATTTTTGTTTCCTTTCCTATGTGTGTATGTGGCTTTGTGGGTGTGCGCGCATACACATGTACATTCCCTTACGGATTTTGCCTCTCAGATTCCTTTTATGCTTTTTAGTGAGCATTTGGGAAAAGATGGATAAACACATATGTCTAATATATCACATTTACCTGCAAGCTTCCCGTGTCCTGAAAATAAATTATTACTAGAATTTGACCACCTTTCTGCCTCATCTCCTCTCGCTGAGCTCCCTACCATCTTCCAGACTACTAGCCTTAGCCTCATTTCGCTTCCTAAAATACACCAAGTTTGTTCTCATTTCCTGTTCTCTTAGACTGAATTCCCTCAGCCTGTCCCAGATCACTGCAGTCTCCACATGTTTTTCAACTCAAATTTCTTTTCAGCGCCCTTCTTCATCATGGTTTATTTGTGTTCTCCCTCTCTTTCTTTCTCTCTCTCTCTCTCTCTCTCCATTAAAATGAAAGCAAGAACTTTGATTAAGTGTGGTACCCCAAGCACATAAACAGGTGCCTAACATATATGGTAGCCCTCCGGTAAATATTTGTTGAATGACTATGAAGTGAATAAATGCATTCCTAACTGTAAGACCGTCTGTCTAATTCTTCAAGACTCATCTTTCTGAGCTAAGAAAACCCATCACAGTGGATCCGTATTTTCAGCTTGACGAAGGTGCCATGTGTAATAAGACCCCTCTCCACAAGGCAAATGACCTTTACTTTCTTCTTGTCTTTCCCCAGTGACCTATGCTACCCACTCATGTGTCATTAGCTTGTGTATCCTTAGAGAATTGCCCTCAGTACTGATGCTGCTTTCCTTTTCTACTCTTCCTAAGTCACTTGTTCTCTCAGATTTTGTTATTTTGTTTACTGCATGTGTTCCTCAAAGACTGTATCAAAACCTAAAGCAAAGGAATGTTTTGACAGGAAATAAAAGAGTGCATATGCTCGGTTGGGGATGGCAGTATCGCAAAAGAGAAATGTTCCCATCCTTTTTTGCACCTTAGTTTCTACTTTGGTTCAAAATGTTTGCAGGGAATTTTTTAGATAGAAGTATCCTGCCTGACTGACATTATATGAAGCCTTTAAATTTACATAAATATTTATTGAGCTCTTTCTATATATGCAAGGCTCTCTGCTGGCCAGTATGGGGAAATTATAACCCATGGAACTCTTACTTTCAGGAAGTTGAAATATATGTCAGTGAGTGAATGATGCCAGGAGAGTGGCCAGAGGAAGACTTGCATTTTTTTCTTACCTTGAACTTCCGTTTTATGTTATTCGTCAATATATTAGGGCAAATAGCTTGTCCTAGAGCAGTGGTCAGCAAACTGCGGCTCATGAGCCACATGCGGCTCTTTGGCCCCTTGAGTGTGGCTCTTCCACAAAATACCACGTGCGGGCTCACATGTACAGTGCAATTGAAACTTCATGGCCCATGCGCATAAGTTGGTATTTTGTGTAAGCGAGCCACAGTTTGCCGACCACTGTCCTAGAAGATTCAGTAATACTTGGCTCATCAGTGCATACTTACCATGCCATTATTTTCAAAGTTTACGATGACCACTTTTTTGGAAACTGAATTTGCTGTCACTTTTCCCTCCCTAAAATATGTTAAATTATGTTACAGTAATTACCAGGGCCTTTCTTGATAATTGGATTCTCTAGGAATTTCCCAGGCTCCTCCAATTTGCCTACACATTTAAAGGAAGCATGCTTGAAAAGACTGACAACCTTTTAGTTGTTTTATTTTTAACTTGCAGCTGACGTACAATATTATGTTAGTTCCAGAATGACATAATACCTTGTTTTTGTCTTCATTGGGAAACTTACTGAATACTAAGTGCCACTCTAATCTTTTAAGGTTTTATTTACCTGTGAACCCATTCATGTCTTCTCTCAGCTCTTCACCTGAATTTCTGACTTGTTCCTATTGCACATAATTAACTGTGTCATTGAACCCCATTGATTTAAACTAACTGAGGCAAGCTTCAGTTAATGGCTTGGTCACTGCCTTGCCTTTCCTCATTATAGACACGTGGGGGCGCCAGATTAATGGGAAATGAAAAAAAAAATGTTCCTTTCTACATTGACGTGAGATGAAATGTGTTCTTGTAAGCAGGCCTTTTTTATTCACTGAATCATTACAGTATTCAATATCAAGTATTAGCAACTCATAAGGACAAAATGAAAGCCCTCTAGACACCAGCCTTCCTGCTTTTGTTTTATCTTTTTCAGTCTGAAAAATTAAGAATTCTAATTCACTGGGAATGCAATAAATAATGAATTTTAGTGCAACTCACACTTTTTCAATCAGAAAAAGAAATTATCTTTGAAAATGTGTTGATTTCTATTGATATAGGAATTCAGAGGACTAGTTTTAAAAGTTCAAAACCGTTGTCAAAACCTTTTAAACAATAGAAGGTATTTCTGTATGAAAAACTAGAGTTTTTAATCTGTTCATATCTGTGCTGTATTTTGTGTCTGGCACACTTTTTATTAAAAGGCAACATGATAAACTCTGATTCTCTTGTGTGTTCCAGAATGGACTGTCCCCACTGCACATGGCCACGCAAGGGGACCACTTGAACTGTGTCCAGCTTCTCCTCCAGCATAACGTGCCTGTGGACGACGTCACCAATGACTACCTGACCGCCCTGCACGTGGCTGCCCACTGTGGCCATTACAAAGTCGCCAAGGTTCTCTTGGACAAGAAAGCTAACCCCAATGCCAAAGCCCTGGTGAGTGGCTCTACCAAAGGCCCAGATGTTGTCCTGCCGAGGACATGCTACCTCTGTATGCGAAGGGATTGCTTTTGAGGAGGTAAAAATGGAAGGTCTAATCAAACCAAGTGCATGTCTCCTCAACTTTTTCAAGTCTCCTTCTGGGAAATCTACAGAACCTTCTAGTTCTGACACCAACAGGCTTGTGTGGTTTGGTCGTTAACACCCTTTAGGGTCACACCAGTGATTCTCTTATGCAAATGAAACCCAAAGACCATGCAAGTATAAAATTCCTGAGGAGGTCAACCTTATCTTACTGTAGGAAACGTTATAATCCAATGAATTAAAAGTGTTTTCTGAGGCAAAATGATAAAAAAAAAAACACATTATCTTAAACATGAGAAGTCTAGGAATGTATGAGCTAAAATGCTATGTTAACCATGTAAGTTAATGAAATATGGCCTGTCATCTACACAAATCTCTATGTTGGTCTAGTCCAGGGGTGGGCAAACTTTTTGACTCGAGGGCCACAATGGGTTCTTAAACTGGACCGGAGGGCCGCAACAAAAGCATGGATGGAGTGTTTGTGTGAACTAATATAAATTCAAAGTAAACATCATTACATAAAAGGGTACGGTCTTTTTTTTTTTTTTTTTTAGTTTTATTCATTTCAAATGGGCCGGATCCGCCGTAGTTTGCCCACGGCTGGTCTAGTCTGTAGTCTTAACTCCTAAAATGATTTGCTATTTTAACCCTTAGCTCTGTATGGTAATTTGCTTTTCTCAGCAGGATGGTGTTTGTTGTCTTAGGAAAATAAATGGTCCCAATTTAGTCGGCTGTTTAAATTTAGTTCAGAAGAAGCACCCACGTTTAGGAAAATCTAACTCACCAAATGCTAGGGAGAGCCTGTGAGTGAATTCATAATTTTGAGCTGAAGGCTGCCATCCAGTCAGCCCTGTTAGGGAGGGTCCCTGCTCCTTTCCGGCTGTGGTCACCCTGGCTGAATGGATCTGCTGTCTGGCTCTGAAATCCGGGGTGGGCAGCAAAGAATGAGGAGAGGGGAGCTCTCCAGACCCCAGGCAGCTGCGTGACCATAGTCGTTCTAAGTGCTTTTCTCAGAGCAGCATGTCGAGAGCTGTTGACCTGCCCCGTGTATCAAACATATCTTTAAATTCTGGGAAGGGAGGAAAATAAATTAGCAGTCATGACTCATTTTCCATACAAGAAAAAAAAGCCTTCAAACAGGGTGTGGGCTCTCACTGTCATTTTCCTCTGACTCGAAAGATTTCGCAACACGTAAAGGCTGTAGCCAGCCATCCTGGCATGGACTCTGGCCAGGTAAAGGGAAGCACCTGCTGTGACTTTGACCTACGCTTTTAGAGTGGACCCCAGAATGTTAGATAGTTCTCTGTGGCAACTAAAAGACGCTCATGGTCTCAAGGATGAGGCAGTAGGATTTGGTAGGTGATTTGTTTTAAATAAGCAGGTCCTTTTATCAGGTTAAATATTAAACCAAACGATCCAAATAATGTTGGGTTGTGGAACTTTCTGCTTCCTTGAATTAAGCACCTACTTGGATCTTAAAGCTGGAAGGAATGAACACCTTCTAGAACTGGTCTTGTAGTTGCCTTACCATGTAGCAGAGAAGTCAGAATAGGCATTGGTGACCTTTGGGCTTTGAGGACAAGCATCAGGGCCAGCTGTTTTTAGTCTGTTTGAAATGAGGGAGAGGAGGGACATATTATTTGAAAGAGTGAATTCCAAAATGAAGTCATCTAAAGGAATAGAGTGACCATTCTGCCTTAGCTCCCAGGGATGGTGACCAAAAGAATTTCACAATTACCAGAGCACCTTGGGTTCCTAGGACCAGCTAGGCTACTGTGCTTCCAGAAAAGGATCTGCATTCTGCCTAGCGCCATGTCGTTACTGCTCTTTTCCAAATCTTTCCAGAAACACACGGTAGCAAAAATGTTGTACCACACTCAGTGGAATGGGATTTCAATGGGATGTAGTCAAGTGGATATGTGTCGTTGTCCCTTGCAGAATGGCTTTACCCCTCTTCACATCGCCTGCAAGAAGAATCGGATTAAAGTCATGGAACTCCTTCTGAAACACGGTGCATCCATCCAAGCTGTAACCGAGGTGAGAGGACTAGGACTGCTGGGTCCCCCGGTACTGAAAGGATAGCAGCCGGAGTCCCAGTGTCAGCCCCGATGACCAGCGAGTTTTGCTCTGTGTGATTGCTACAGTCTACTCTCTGAGCCTTTCACCCAAGGGGCTGTGAGTCCCGAGGAGAGCAGACATGAGCATGGGTGGGTCAGTGCAGGTTCATCACCGTGACTAGAAGCACAACCCCAAACAGGCTTCGAGCTCTGGGGGAGGGACTCCATCCCTGAAAGCATCATTCATATGAAATCCTATAATGCAGTGCTTCTCAGAGGGGGGCGCTTTTGCCCCCAAGGGACATTTGCAATGTCTGCAGGTTGTTTTTAGTGTCACAGCTGGATGGTGCTACTGGCATCTAGTGGACAGAGGCCAGAGATGCTACTAAACAGTTGACAATGTACAGGCCAGACTCCCACTGCAAGGAATTATCTGACTCAAAATGCCAATGTGCCAATGAGCTGAGAAACCCTGCATAATACAGCCTCTGTGTGTTTGGAAGGTGTGGATTACTCTCTATAAAAACTCAGAGTTAATGCAACAAAGTGAAGGACTAGCTCTAGATTTCTTTTGTACAAACCAACACAGCACTCAGAAAAAAAGGCCCATCAGGATAAGGGCTAAGCCTTCAACACAGCCAAGCCGGCCTGGCATCTACTCTTCAGATTCCTCCCATCCCCCACCCCATCCTAGCACGAGGTCTCTGTGGATTCTAGCCCTCAACACTGCCCTAGACTGGACACCCTTTCGTTCATACCTCTCTGCTCCCTCCGTGTGTCACACACCCACTTCCCCAGGCTAATCCCGCACATCCTCCAGGACCAGATCTGGGCCACCTTCTCCAGGAAACCGCCCCTCACCCCCTGACCTGGTCCAGGACCTCTCCCCAGGCCCACACTACTGCTGTGTGTACTTCCACCAAAGCACTGACTCAGCTGCTTTACTTCTGACCCAGCCAGCCCCCTGCCCCCTAGAACCTGCAGGCTCCTTCTGGACAGGCGTGAGTCTTGCTGGTGTTTCTATGCCCACAAGGCCTGGCCCATCGGAGATCATTCAGAAAGGCTTGTTGATTGCATCATAAAGACGATGAGATTTGAGGCCAACATAAAAGCTGAGATCTAGTCCAGTGATTCTCACATTACCTCATTCTCTGATCTAGTCTAGTGGCCATTATGGTATTTGCCTTAATTATATCACCTCAATGTATAATATTCATCTAGTTAAAAATCAAATAACTGAGACTGTTAATGTCGATTTGCTCATTTTAGCAGAATGGCTTTGTGTTAGGCTCCATGATCTTTCACGTGTAATATAACGAATGTATGCGGAGTGCGTGGGAGTCCTTGAAGGCCAGAGAGGATTTGAAATAAGAGTCAACTTTTTACTAACACATCCTGTCTGGATTTGTAACACTCAAAATATTTTTAAAATCACATGGTCGAAAATATTAATACTGATTTACACTTTTATCAGTCTTATGGCTTCATGGTAGACACCCTGTTTTTCAATTATAAAGTAGTAAGTTTATTCTCAGTGCATGGAAACCCATTTTAAAGATTAGAATGTACTCTGGAGTAGAAGTGGAGTTTTGACTGATGTTTGAATAAATGCCCAGAGATGTCAGCTGGTGAGGAGACGGTCCCAGTGCCAGCTCTGTGCTCCCCATGAGCTCTGTACACCAGCTCAGACCCGCATGAGGGCTTCACCTTGCACACATTTTGACTACTCCCCCTGCTGACGGGAAAAAGGCTCCATGTTATAACAAGTCTTTTCCCGTTTTTCCTCAGTTCCCACTAGTTGAAATCGGTGCAATTTTACCTCACTTTTACCCTAGAGAATTCCTTTTACCTTTTTTTTTACATTACTCAAATTTCTATGGACATTTGCTATCTCCTTCTCTCTCCTTAAAAAAAGGAGAGCTTTTTCTAGCCATTTTAAGTATTTTTACCAAATTAGGATGTTCATGTTGTAAGTGGAATTATATTCTGAAAAATTAAAACTGTAATCATTTCATGTAAAAAGCAAAAGTGTTATGAGTTGTGTTGTATGTAGGCTTTGAAGCAAACTTAAAAATGAAGGTCTAGCCCAGCCAGTTTGGCTCAGTGGGTGGATGGGTGGATGGGTGGATGGGTGGATGGGTGGATGGGTGGATGGGTGGATGGTAGGCGGCGGTTGGGCAGGCAGGCAGAGAAACCCTTTTTATGATAAGACTACAAACCAACATTTCCCTCTTCTTCCCTCAGTCGGGCCTTACCCCAATCCATGTTGCTGCCTTCATGGGGCATGTAAATATCGTATCACAGCTAATGCATCATGGAGCCTCCCCAAATACCACCAACGTGGTAAGTATCCTTTTCACAGGGAACGGCCAGTTGTGAGTACTTATTAAACTGGCAAAGGTTGCTTTTACCTACTTTTTTGTTGTTGTTGTTATAAGTAAATTAATTGACATCACAGTAGTATTAACACACCAGACCACAAGCATAACAATGCTAGTTGGACCCATGAGTGCCAAAGGAGTAAAAATAAAACCAGCAACATTCTGGCTCAGAAACAGCAAACCAGAAGTTTCCTGTACACCCACCCTAGGGTGTGCCACCAACAAGGGTCTCTACTAGCAACCAGAATCAGCACCGAAACAGACCAGCTTCTCAGTGAAATACAGGCTTTCCTGGCACTAACACCATGGGGAGGTTTTACCATATACTGGGTTATATGGTAACTACATCCTAAAGATCTTTCCAGTAAACACATTAGCAAGTTTTGTGTGAAATATGTCTTTGTTATATATCACTTATGGGAGAGAATATATTTTATTATTACTTTGTTTCTATCTATCCATGTCTTCTATACTGTTTTCATTTTTTGTGGTTACATAAATGAATAATCCGAATTAAAGTCTCCTTAATGAAATGGAGGGATAGGTGGGGTGTGTGTGGGGGGGGGGGACGGGGGGGAGGGGGACTTAGTGGCAAAGAAACTGACCTTTTGGACTAATGCCCAAAGGCTAGGAGGCTGATCTGATGAGGTGAAGCAGAGAATGCACACCGGCAGCCAGCAAGCCCACTCGGGCCCTCATGTGCGTCTGTGTTGCCCATGCAGCACTTTGGTTTCTGTTTTGTTTTCCAGTCTGGTTTTGGGGTCAACATGAAAGTGCACACAAATAGCCAGGCTGCCCCTCCTTTTGAATAGGAAGGCGGGGCCCCCTGCACAGCCCCACAGCTGCCTGCAGACCTCACGTAGTGGCTGCCACCTTCGGGCAGCCCCCCCCCCCCCCCGCTCTTCTCCTGAGCTCTCCCCACCTGCCCTCTCCACTCATGTACCCGCCTCTCCCCCTGTGAGCATTCACCTTTCCACCCTCAAGGAGGCCACCTTGAAGGTTCTTGGACAGCACTTCTGACACTGTGATGACTAGGCCCCTCGGCTTATACCAAAAGTCCTTCCTTCCTGGATCAGGTTCCTCTGAAATTCTTGTGCCTTTCATCTCCTGTCTCTCCTAGCCTTCACTAAGGAAGTGCTTGGGACTTTTTTTTATTTATAAAATATGAAGCCGACATCATAAGCTTCATGCAGGTGAAGGAGGCCGCTCTTCTTCGGAGCTGCAGTAACTTTGTTCCGACTCTTCTTCCCCAGAGAGGAGAAACGGCGCTGCACATGGCAGCTCGGTCCGGCCAGGCTGCAGTCGTGCGGCATCTGGTGCAAGACGGAGCTCAGGTAGAAGCTAAAGCAAAGGTCAGTGCGATTCCTGGAAGCATTTGCTATTGATGGGGGAAAGTCTTGATTTTAATAAACCCTTTAAATATATGCATGCCGTCTTCCAAGAATACTTATTTAATGTAGTGAGCAACCTCCACTGGAAAAAATGTCTACCCAAGTGACATTGTAAAAACATCCCTTCCCTGTACAGTTGTCCATCCAGTTATTTAACGGGATTAAATAGAACAGGCACGGTGTGCCAGAAGGAACTTCGTGTCCTTGGCACATGGCTAGTCCTGAACAGATTAAGAAACAAACCTAGACTCGGTCCAGAGTTCTTCACACTCCGTAGAGAGGGGCTTATGCACAGGCTTCTAGGATAAGCACAGTTTGGAAGCATCACTGAGCTCATTTGGTTGACTCGCAGGCCAGCTGTCACAGCCACAAAGGAAAAGGGAAGTTTTAACTTTTTCTCTACAAGTTGTGAAACCATAAACCCTGGGACGAAGGTCAGAGTTGCTTCAGGGATCTGCCTTTGCATGAAAAAAGGAACTCCCGGGTTAAATTCGAATGCTTCGTCCTGGCCTGGTGTCCAGCCCCCAGAGGAAACCCACTTTCCTGTCACTATTCAGGATGTATAGTTGGTCTGGTTCTTCAAAATGGCAGTTCAGGTCAGGAATGGTCAGTAAACACATCAATACCTTAATCATTTCCTTTCAACATACAATACATGCATGTGTATTTATTTGCTATTTATTTCTGTGATCTGTCGTTCCTAGTTTGGGGTGGAGAGGAAATAGATATCCATGAAGCAGTGGGAGTGCAGAATATTTATAACCGTTGGTAATTTTCTCTCGGTGTGTTCAGCTGTCTCACCCATATCTAATTAAATCATAATTGCTTTTTATCAACATCTATCTAGGCTTTCCAAAGCTTTCAACTCAGTATTCTTAGGGGGAAATACAGCCTTTCCTGTCATGCTCATGTTTTACCTGTGAACATATTATTTATTGTATAATTAAAGTAATTAGTGCACATGTAGTACAAATTAGGAGAATAATTAGTGCAAACATACTACTGTGAGAATAAACCGAACTAGGTCTGGGTAAGCATGAAGTCTGCAGGTGGAGGCGAAGGTTGTGGCATTCTAAGCAGCAGACTGCAAACCTCAAGTGTCCAGTTGTTCTGTGGCACCAGTGAGTGGATGTTGTAGAGGATCTAGAAACAAAGGTCAGCAAACTATCTGTAAGGATCTAAGAGTAAATATTTTAGGCTTTGAGGGGTGCGGCATTGCTATCACAGCAGCTCAACTCTGCCTTTGGAGCAAAAGCAGCTGCAGACAGTGCATAAGCAAATGGGCATGTCTGGGTCCCAATAAAACTTTATTGACAAACAGGTGGCAGCTGGATTTGGCTGCTGGATTGTAGTTTTCTGACCCTTGATCTAGAGCAGTGGTTCTCAACCTTGGCTGCACATTAGAATCACCTGGGAATCTTTTTTAAATCCTGATTTCTGGGCCTCATCCTCTGGAAATTCTGTTTCTTTTTACTAATGTTGTGGCCCCACCCCATAACAAAGAAATAGAATTTCTGGTGGATGAGGCCCAGAAATCAGGACTTTGAAAAGATTCCCAGGTGATTCTAACATGCAGCCAAGGTTGAGAACCACTGATCTAGAGGATATTGATGAATCCACTTAATCAGTTAAGTGGAAGAGTTAAGAGAAGTTATACTGTACCTTGGATTATAGAAAAACTCACACTTATGAGTGTTGTTATTCCATATCAAGCATTGTGTCAAAGGAGTGGTTCTACCCATCAACTGAAATTGAGGATTTTTGGTTATCAATTTGTTAAGGAGGCAGCATGTATCATGGTTAGGAGCCTGACTTCCTCAGCCACACTGCCTGTGTTTGGACCTTGGTCTACCAATTCCTAGCTGTGTAACATGGGGTAGGTTAAGGATTCTGTGCCAGGTTTCCTTTTCTCATTTCCTCACATAACAAAGGAGACTAGTGATCGTGCAATTCATAGGACGGTTGTGATGATTAAAAAGGTAGGTTAGGAGCAGTACTTACAGCCTGGGGCAGGTAGGTGCCCAGGACATGTTTAGTGGTGGTAGTGGCAATTGTAGAGTTTTATGAAATTTTCCTTTGGCAACTCTCTCTGTTTTCAGTATTCCTCTTCTTCCTCATAGCATCTCCCCTAATGCTTCCTGCTAGTAACATAGTAGGAAGTTTTGACCTTGCTTTGACCTTGACTCTCATCTTACTACCTTTCCAAAGCAGTATCCTGTGCTGCACCGTCTTCTCTCCATAAAGTATTTACCTGAACTTTTTCACATTCAAGCAGGGGATTTCTTTCTGGAGGACCACCATAGAGCATCTTTGGACAAATGAGGAATAGATGCCTCTCCCACTTGGGCATAGCGACCTAAGGGACAGGACTTAGTGAGGGCCTTATGCATTTGGGTGAATTGTATAAGGTGCCCCTCCACTCGAGGCAGATGCAGCCTATGCCAGGATGTACAACTTGGCAAATAGAGGGTAGGCTGGCTTTCAGCCCCCATTGGCCCTGTTGGCTGGGAGCTGTTTTGCTGGTGTACCTGTACAGCCCTATACTGGCCCCGCCTCAACTCTTGGTGATGGGAAGACACCACCAATAAATTTCATCCCATGTGAGTGCGTTATAACTGGTGGAAGTTTAATATCCCTCCTAGGTAATTGAGGTTTACCAAGATTTAAATCCTTATCTCCCAAAAAAGGAGCCATTAGATGTTAAAAACTGATAAAGTATGGCAGGTAGTAGTGGAAATAATTTATATACAGAAATGTCTTCCATACTTTCGTACTAATAGTTTGGTAGAAATGTATTTAAGCTTAGGTTTACCCTCTCCATCCTTCTGAACCTTGAAGAAAAGGTAAATGAGATTCTCTTTATTATTGAGTAAGAGTTGGACTTTAGTGTCTGATGCCAGGCAGTTTGCTAAATGTTTTTTAAGGGTCCCATTGCTTTCTCAGCTAATCGGCCTTGCATTTCCTCCTTGCCATTTAGGATGACCAAACCCCACTGCACATCTCAGCCCGATTGGGGAAGGCGGATATAGTCCAGCAGCTGTTGCAGCAAGGAGCGTCTCCAAATGCAGCCACGACTTCTGGGTACACCGCCCTCCACCTTGCAGCCCGAGAAGGGCATGAGGACGTGGCCTCATTCCTTTTGGATCATGGCGCATCTTTGTCTATTACAACAAAGGTATGAAAACAAGTCTTGGAATCCTACTCTGTCCCTCAAAATACATCCTCCTTGGAATCCCCAATGTGTCCTTACAATTTCTGCTGTGTTCTCCAAAATACATCCTCCTCAAAATTCCTTGGTACCTGTTCCCGGCAACAGGTACAACGGTTGTATATCATCACCTACACTTGGGATCCCAGGGTAGTCCCAACATGGCCAGCAAAGCCCTGGAGTTGGGGAGGGTAGTTAGGGTATGTGAAAGTTTGTGTGTGTCTGTGTGTCTGGCTTAAGTTTCTCAGTACATTATCTTCTAATGAAAACGTACTGATATCTAGAGTCAGATATTTCTCGAATGTTATTTGATAGATTTAACTGGTGATTTTAAAAACACAGCCAGAGATTTCTCTAGTTGGGACCATGTATATAAACCACATTATCAAAGCTCAGTTGGTTGATATTTTTATAATACTTTTAAATCAGGAGGAGAAATTTTTTGGGGGGGGAGGGATAATTTTTGTTTGTTGTTGTCATTCCTTTTGTTACTATTGTGTTGTTTGACTTATGGTCTGATTTTTTTTTTTAAATCTTGACTCTGATACCTTAGAATGGTAGTGTTCCACACAAGTGCTCTGCAGATGCAAAATTTAGAGGTCTTTTTTTTAAGTTACTGTTTAAACCTTGTAGGTGTGGTAGGAAGATAGCTGGAAATGGTGTTGCACTATCTTATTGGGTGCAGAGAAGAAGCATTAATGTGTAACCAATGAGCAAGATAATTACAATAATTATAAATACTTGGTAGTAAACTATCTGGGGAAAAAAATGATGACGACCTTAAACTTCACCTCCTGTGATGCTTTAGGCTCTTCGGGAAAGTTGAGATGTAAGTTCCTGGATCTAATTCAATGTGTAAAACATTGGGGTTTTGAGTGCCCCAGCCGATTCACCAAGCCAGCTAGCTGCCCACTGGCTCTAGTTGGCTATAATCTCATGAGGTCAAATGTATTGATGACCCTGCAGTCCCTGTCTCATGTTTGGGTCCCTCCCTAAAGGGAGAACTGCTAGATACCCAGATCCTTGTAGGAGTTGAGAGCCAGGGAGATTAGTACTCAACCTCAGTGTCCAACTCTACATGTTTATTGGACTGGCACCTGGTGTTATTCAGTTCAGTTCACCTGTGTGTGAGGACCTCTGGCTCCTACACCTGAAGACTAGAACAAACATAAAGATATGTGCATACATGTGGAAAAGGCGAAATGGGAAGAGAAAGGCTCCAGTCTGAAATTATGGGAGGACCAGATTTGCCCTGGATGTTCCCAAGCCCACCAAATCCAAATTGCACCTGGGACTCTAGAACCTATTCTTCCTACAACATGAAATCCCAAAATGGCCCTAGAATAAGCCCCAGATCCAGCTCTCCAACCTCATCCTGGTCTGAGGGCCACTTAGTCCCAGCGTCAGTGGCCTGCTGTGGCTCAGTCAGCACACAGAAAAGTGAAATATCCTGCTCTTCCTTGTTGGTGAGGGGACTCTCTAACTGTCACCTACCAGTCTTGCCTCTTACGTGCAGCCTTACCTGCTCCTCCTTAGAATAATTCATCAGTTCCAGAAGAGAGATGCCCTTGGGTCATTTCTATTGTTCATTATTTTTATGTTTCATTTTTCAGAAAGGATTCACTCCCCTTCATGTGGCAGCAAAATACGGGAAGCTTGAAGTAGCCAACCTCCTGCTGCAGAAGAGCGCATCTCCTGATGCCGCTGGGAAGGTATGGGGTCACCAGCCACCCTGTATAACAGGCCACTTCCATGATAACAAAACACGCACTTGCTATTATTCACCACCAGCCACCTACTAGTAAATGATAACCATAGTTAAGTCTCATAGGACAAGGAACGCTGGAAATAGGTGAATGCTGGTGTCCAAGTGTTGTGGCAACTGCAGTGTAAAGTGCACTCTATGTTGTACCCGATCTAATCCCGTCTCCTAACTCTAGGCCTCGGATGTTAAGACACTGTTGACACTGGTTGTTTCTGCACGTGTTTTCAGAGCGGGCTAACTCCACTGCATGTAGCTGCACATTACGATAACCAGAAGGTGGCCCTTCTGCTTTTGGACCAAGGAGCCTCACCTCATGCGGCTGCAAAGGTACCTGTAATTCGACGGCATGAGGACACTGGCGGGCAGTGCCCTCCATCTCTACGTCCACTTCCACTTCCACAGAACTATACGCTCTTAGGGAATCTGTGCCTTCAGCTATTTAGTCAACTCATCTAGTAGATGCTCAATAAATATTTACTTGTCAATTGATTGTCCTTGAAAATCCAGGACATCCTGGAGCCTGGGGAGGACATGAAGTTCAGGTACTCATGAGCCAGATGAGAAACATAAGTGCAAGAGAGTTCTGATTTGTCGACGTTATAAAATATGTGTTGCATTTTCCCAGGCTGTAAAACAGTGCCTTCGAGTTATTTGTTTCATAAAATAAGTTGGGAGGTTTTGCTTATGTGTTTTTAATATTGCTAAAGGGAATCATTATTCTTCTTGTTAAGGCATTTTTGAGCAGTTAGATAACCTAGATTTCTCAGAAAAGAGGTGCATGGAGTGTATGGCTTTTTTATCCCTCTGGTATTTGGATTCGAGAGGTATTTATTGAAAGATAGGTAAATGGAAATATGCTTTAGGAAGTGCTGTATTTTTGTGCAAGTGGCTATGATCAGGAACATTGGAGTGACACAAACCACATTCTAACTGCTGTCCAGTTCTTTCACTAAAGATTATTGGTTGAAGGAACTTTTAGCATCCCTAATGCTTTTTATATATCTTTGTTTTACTCTTCCACTTTGGGAACCTACAGTGCTCTTCCTTAAACTTGGTGTTTAGATCAGTGATGGCGAACCTTTTGAGCTCGGCGTGTCAGCATTTTGAAAAACTCTAACTTAACTCTGGTGCCGTGTCACATATAGAAATTTTTTGATATTTGCAACCATTGTAAAACAAAGATTTATATTTTTGATATTTATTTTATATATTTAAATGCCATTTAACAAAGAAAAATCAACCAAAACAATGAGTTCGCATGTCACCTCTGACACACGTGTCATAGGTTCACCATCACTGGTTTAGATCAAACCTCTGGTACACACAGATCAATGAACTTGGGCTATTTTAGATTACTTTGGATACTTTAAAAGAACAAGTGTTAGGTGCCTTCTCCATTTAGAGAATAGGTTATCTTTCGCAGGAATTTCTCCTCAGAACCTCTTTTTATGTCTTTCTCAAACATTTCCTGCTCCATCCTCTCCAGAGTTATACTCCATGAAATCTACAATTCAAAATCAAGCCCTCAGACTTGCTTTGCATCTAAATGCAGCTTTTCTTCCATAATTTCAGACTCTGACAAACATTCTTTCTCATAAAATAACCATGCCTTGACTTTTAAAAAAAACTGTATCTAAAAAGAAAGAAAACAAATAGCAGCATTATTCACAATAGTCAAAGGTGGAAGTAACCCAAGTGTCTATTGAAGGATGACTAGATAAACAAAATTTAGATTCTTCCTACAAAGGAGTATTATTCAGCCTTAAGAAGGAAATAAACGCTGACACATGCTGCCATATGGATGAACCTCAAAGACATTGTGCTAAGAGAAATAAGCCAGTTCCACACAGGACAAATATTGTGTGATGTCACTTATACAGAGACAGAAAGTCGAATGCTGTTTGCCAGAGGCTGAGGGGAGGAGGAAGTGGGGAGTTAGTGTTTAATGGGTACAGAGTTTCATTTTGGAGCTGGATGGTGCTAATTGTTGGAGAACAATTTGAATGTACTTAATGTATTTAAAAATAGTTAAAATGGAACATTTTGTGCTGTGTATATTTTACCACAATTTTTAAAACAAAATGTATAATGAAATGTAATGCTTGTACATTTCATTTCAGTTCATTTTAATATCCCTTTGAGCCTGGGCCACTTTTCATGTTATAAATAACCCCAGGTTGTTAATAAATAAATAATTAATAAGTGAACTATTTATTTCTCACATGTGAGCAACCATTGTGACACAACTAGTGCCACGCAGTTTGTAAGTACAATAAAATGAGTCCAATCCACCTTTCCATCCACAAAATAACTTAAATCAATAGTTGATATATTTGTGGTTGATTTTTTTCAGCTTTAAATTTGTCCAAGACTTTGTATTCATGGTTTTGCATCTGCAAAACATTTTTGACAAAGAATTAAAAAGCAGTTCTTGAACTAATTCCTTATAACAGCCCTTTAGCCTTGGGCTATCTTTTACAGTCAATTGAACACGGACTTTTCTAAAGGGACATTCCCTCTCATTCCCACAGCACAATGGTCCCAAATGAGCCTCTGTAATGCCATCTCTCCACATTTCTAACTATTCCCACTTTCTGGGGCAGTGATCCTGGTCAGGAGCGTTTGTGTTTTTTTAGACTTTGATCCTGAGCAAAGGCACTTAGGGGTTGGCATCATTTGCTAGGAAAAAGGCCTAGCATAGTGGTTTAAATTGATGAGAGTCAATTTTTCTCATGCCCATTAACAGTCTTTTGGTTTTTCCCTCCAGAGGTTTTTGTTGCTTAGTCAGCCAGGTCTTGCAACCAGCAGGAAAGAAAGTCAGACAATAGGGTATTCCTGTAAGCTCCACCCAGCTATTTCTCTTTACATCTCATTAGCCACTTATTTTTGCAAGGGATGATGGGAACTGTAGTTTTTCACCTGGACAGAATACCAGAGTTTCATTTATTAAGGAGGGAAAATGGATCTAGGGTAGGAAAATAGCACCTTTACTCCGGAGAGCTCAGGAACCTCTGAGTTCTGGCTGTGGTGCGAAACAAAGGACAAAGGCTCTAGAGGACATGATTAGCATTTGGTTATGACAGCAATGACAATGTTAACTCTTCCTTAATTCACATTCTTGGTTCTCAGAGTATGTGATGCTTTCTTCTGGCCTTTCTTCTCTTTTGTAGGATTGACAGTATGTTTTCTTAGCCATACTTAACCTAGAACATGATGTGATTTTTGGTAATGTGGGATGGGGGATACCTAAAAAGTAGATGGGATTCTATAATCCATTTTATCCTGAACTATTTCCTGAGGCAGATACTGTTGGCTTCAGTTTAGGCATGACTTGGGCACTACTAGTGGAAGGGATAGTGAGCCTTAACTTTTTGTTTGTCCGATTTCTCTCCCTTAAAATGTATAATATATCTATTAATATGGATCAGCAGAGACTGTGAAATTCTTGGGGGGAAAAAAACTGATGTAAATATATTACTTTTGATCATTTAAAATTACATTTGCTTTTGTTTTAATCTTGAAATTATGTCCTTTGCCCTCTACATCCAGAGGGAAAAAAAATACTGGTTAACGTTACTCTACAGTTGAATCACTATTTTATTTCTCTTCTGATAAATGCATCTGTCTCCTTTAGTGTGGCAAGGAAGAAACAGTTTACTTTCTAGAAATTAGAAAAGCTAAGGCAATTTAGAAAATCCCATTACAGGTCTCAGATGAACTGTTTATTATTTGAAATGTCTTGTTTATTATTCCTAAAGTCTTTCAAAATTACCTTCCCATCCATCCTACAGTAAGGCCATGATTTGTTTTCCCTGGCTTCATGCTTCCCTTTGTGTCTCAGGTAAGGAGCTCAGCAAAGCCCTGGGTGATAATGAGGAATGTGTCTGGAATTGACCTTTGCTACAGAGATGCCAGAGCTTCTCTAGGTTCGGGTTTTTAGAGTCTAGGGGTTTTTGGTGGAATTAGAGAGGATTGTCATATCTCAGAGGATACTGATCTGCCTTTAGGGTTGGAGAAGCAACCAACTGGAAGGTTATTATCAGTAACAAAAGCAATAAAAAAAAATGACAAGATGCATGATATGAAGCTAAACTCTATCTTGCCTTTGCCTCTCTTATGGACTAATCAGAATTCCTGTTTTGGCACCGCTTTGTGAATTTTCCTTTTCATACAGGGGTGGGGACACTGATAGCTCACCCCCTCCTGTCTGTCACTCACTGCAGAGTCCAAAGCTCTCATTTCTGAAGGCCACCGCTAAAGGGTGTGTCTGAACACGGACCAAATGCTTCCCAGGTCAGCTGGAGTTTCCAGATGGCAATAAATCAAAACTAAAAATAGAGATATAAAATTGTCTTCTACCCTGGCTCGTCCCTTTTGGTAGAGGCTGGTTTCACAAGGGTCTGGAAGTGGCATTTCCATTTTCATGGGTTGATACCCAGTAGCTTAAATCGTTTCTCTACACTTGATCGCAGAAAGAGTATTTCTCAAGTGCAAAATGCTCTCATGCTAGGGTATACCAATGACTTCAATGTGCGAGTTGATTGCAGTAGGCTAGCCGATCAGTGGGACAGCACCTTCTGTGTTGTTTCTGATTCATCCACGTGGCTTGGAAAGACTGCGACTTTAGATCATATTCCCAATTATAAGTCCTTGGATTCTGTTTTATTTTATCTCTCTCTAACTCCTCTTGTCTATAGAAATCAGTCTAATTTTTATTGGCATATTTTATATAGTCAGATTCATGTTCATGTCAAAATGTAATCTTGCATTTCTGTTAAATGACTGTGAGCCAAGACAAGGTCCCTTAAGGGCAGAGGACTCTGAAGGTTCCTAAGGCACAGCTAATTCTTAATTTGTCAAAAGACCCAGCTGGTATGGTTCAGTGGTTGAGCATCGACCCATGAACCAGGAGGTCATGGTTGGATTCTGGTCAGGGCACATGCCGGGTTGCAGGCTCGATCCCCAGTAGGGCGTGTGCAAGAGGCAGCTGATCAGTGATTCTCTCTTATCATTGATGTTTCTATCTGTCTCTCCTTTTCCCTTCCTCTCTCTGAAATCAATAAAGACATATTTTTAAAAAAATTTGTCAAAGGAATTTGGGTTGTCTGTTCCTCTGAGCATTAAGGGTCAGATAAGAGAAAGATCAGAGAATGTTCTCAAAGCTCTAGTAAGATTGACTCAAATTCTGAGGATTCTCCAGTCATTGTGAGATATTAGAGATACAAAGACAAATATAACACAATACATGCTTTCAATAAATTTATATTTTAGTAGGAGACACATATGTAAATAATAATAAATATTACTATATATCTAAGATAGCCACTAAGTATATCCAGGACTTTGATTGGAGTCAGTCAAGTGGGGAGCAGGTGTAGAAGGGAGCAGGGACAAAGTAAAAGACTTCATGAGGGTGTGACCCTTGAGCCGAATCTTTAATGGATAGATGCTGGCCCAGAGGGCATGCTGGGGAAAGTATTTTTGGTACAGTAGGCAAGACAGAAACATGAGCTGTATGTTGTTGTGGGGACGGGTGCAGCTGAAACATAGCATAGAGACTGGAGTTTTGTGAAAGAGGCAATGAGACGATCAAATAGGGGTAGATTACAGCAATCGACTACCATGAAAACTAAAAATTTCAACCTGTAAGCAATCAAAGGGACTTTCAAGATGGAATAATGGATTTGAACATGACCATGTTGTTTGTTGTTTCCTAGTAGGTTTTCCTCTCATCCCCAATTTAAATAAAGCAAGTAATTATTGAGCACCTACTAACTTAACTCCCTGTAAGAGGGAACCCTATATTCCTTTTGTAAAACCAATGGTACTCTGACTCTTGCATTAAACGGTTTAGAAGTATTATACTTTCCCTTGTTAGATGTGGGAGACATGAGGGTCTACATTAATGACACTGCCTGATTTATCAGTCTTTGCTTATTTAATCAAGATTTTTTTTAAAAAAACATTAAAAAAATCAATAGAAAGGGAGGCATACTGTTTTGAAAATGTATGCGCACGTTTTTATCTTGTGACCGGGCATGTGACCAAGTGGTTCATGTTGACAGAATGGTTATACGCCACTGCACATCGCTGCCAAAAAGAACCAGATGGACATAGCGACGACTCTGCTGGAATATGGTGCTGATGCAAACGCAGTTACCCGGCAAGGAATTGCTTCTGTCCATCTTGCAGCTCAGGAGGGTCACGTGGACATGGTGTCACTGCTCCTCAGCCGAAATGCCAACGTGAACCTGAGCAATAAGGTAACCTTTTTCTTTCTCCACAAAGCAGACAACACAACAACACCTCGCCTCCCCAGAAAGTCATCAGGAAGTCGCGAAAAATCTAAGTCAGATAGGGAGTGTAAAGTGTAAAGTCACAAGAAGATGTTTACCAAAGTATTAATTATCATGGCAAAAACTTGGAAACAATCTGTTTAAACAGTAAGAGAATGGTAGGTCAGTAATTGCAAAGTCATACAGTTGAGTAGCATGTAGTCATGAAAATGAAGTCCACCGAGTTTATCTAAAAACATGAAGTTATGTTATAAAGTTCATTCAGAGAGTAGCATTGTTATTTCACCAGAATGTAACAAGTGAGAAATTGTAAACAGTAGCCTGTTGATTCGTTCCACAGGCATGTTTGGGGCACCTACTCCTTGCCTGTCTCAGTTTAAGTCCTAGGTTACAAAAAGAAATTGGAAATCGTTCTGCTCTCTAAGAGTTCGTTTTAATAACAGAAATTTAAGGCAGCTATCTTATTCAATACATTGGAAAGGTTGTTAGTTTACACGTTTAGTCTTCGTATGTCAGTTAGCAGTTCTGAGGAACTTGTAAAGACGGTTCCCAAAATTCTTCAAATTCCGGTCCTCATATTTGACATTCCTATTATTAGTGAAGGAAGGCCCAGCCCACAATTGAGCAGACTGATTGCAGTATTGTTGCATATATCAGAGAATTAGGATTTGCTGACTACCTATGAATGAATACCTGCGTCTGAGATCTGCCTGATACACAGAATGGATGTTCTAAGTCTCCAAACAGCACACCCCCTGCAAGAATGCCCCCAAATTCTTGATAATTGAAACTCCCCAGCAGTTAGCTTTTCCTCGCCAGTTAGTGATGGCACAGCCGTGGCATTTCTCAGCTGTAGCTCAGATATTGGAGTAGAGTTTCAACATAGGAATAGTTTTATGGTGACAAATGACAAGTTCTTTATTTTTAACATATGTGGCCTGTGTTTCAGAATCACGGAGGATTTAAATCCTAAATCGAACTCTTAGTGGAGTTGTGTCATTTGGGCAATTTATGTGAGCTCTGTCAGCCTCCGTTTCATCCTCTAGGAAAGATAATATTTACTTCACGGAGATGTCATGAGGATTAACTAGATAACATGCAGCCCCTTCACAGTGGAAATGAATAACCGTATTCATTGTGGACTTTGTACAATTTTGAAAAAAGGTTACTCTGCACTAATCTGAATCCCCGAGGTTGTGATTTAACCAATTCTGTAGACCAAAAGACCAGGGAAATCTGTCTCGCAGCTTTAATATCTTGAAGGTCCTTTTTGATCATTACAGAGCAAACACCTTTTTCATTTCCCTTTTTTCTGGTGTATCAGTTTGATTTTCTCATATCTTTTTAAACATCCCTTTTAGGAATGCATGTCTCAGCATTAATGGGACTCACAAAGCAATGTCAAATAGTTATTCTAATCAGGACTTGTTTGAGCTTGTGAATTTTCTAAGGTTCATTACCAGTATGTAAACCAGCCTGCTAAGAGTTGGCTGCAAAATTCAACTTGTCTACATGAGGTAGAGAGCCTGGCCTTCGCAAAGTGAAGCACATTCTGGCATCCACTAGAGCTGTGATGGCGAACCTTTTGAGCTCGGCGTGTCAGCATTTTGAAAAACCCTAACTTAACTCTGGTGCCGTGTCACATATAGAAATTTTTTGATATTTGCAACCATAGTAAAACAAAGATGTATATTTTTGATATTTATTTTATATATTTAAATGCCATTTAACAAAGAAAAATCAACCAAAAAAATGAGTTCACGTGTCACCTCTGACACGTGTGTCATAGGTTTGCCATCACTGCACTAGAGTGTATTTTCTCTTGTGTGCCCAGAATATCATATCTCATTCATTCTCCCAGAGACAATGTAGACCTGAACAATTGGTTAACAGGTTAACACTTTCAGTGGGTTTGATACTAAAATACAGTGTGATTGACTTTTTCTTTTCTTTCAAATACTCCAATCAAGTGGATATTCACTTTACAATCATAGGTTATTTTTAGGCGGATAATACTTTAGAAAGAATTTGTCAGTGTTTGCTTTGGTAGATGGGGCATCTAAAGGCAATTCTAAAGACCAAAAGGCATAGGTGATAAACCATCAGCCACCTTCCTGAATATACGCAGCGCAGCGATACTCCCAAGTTTGAAGAGCAGATCAGCTGGCTTCCCATTAGCACATGGTACTTAAGGAGCTTTCAAGAACTTCGCAGGACCAAGAAACTGCCTAGGACAATGGCATGTGTAAATCTTTGCTTCCCTTCTCTCTTGTCATTTTCTCTTTTAAATAAGCCCCGGTGTGAAAGCAGATCATCAGCAGAACATTATCATCCAGGAGGAACTCGGACAGTTTTCTGCCAGTTTTTCCTGAGCTGCCAGGGTTGTAAACATCAGTCACTGTCCCTCCACTCCTCCCACCTACCCATTCCACCTTCCCATTTAACACCAGACGTTGTTTCCTTGCTAAAAAGTAAATATTAACCCCCACAAAAAATAGCTTTTGTGAAAATTTCTCGTGCATGAAACACTTTGTTTTACCTCTCTTGTTACTGGTAACCAGTAGTTCCCAGCAGTTTTAAGGAAGACCGTGAACTTGAGTTACTGCTAAAGTGCTAGTGTCTGATCTGCTTTGATTTTTATTTTGATGTTGCTATTTTCCCACATGGATTGTATAGACCACAGTAGCTATATTTCTTTATAAAGCAAATAGAATATTAGACAGAGCTGTGGTTAATCTGACTTGGGGGTGTTTTCTCTTTCCCCAATAAATGTCATTTTTTAAATGAGCAATGGTCAAAACCCCATAAAAGATTAACAGGTCACTTCTGAGCTTAACTGAGACTATTTTAACGATCACATTATTTTTTAAAAACTTTTTTACCAAAATCATGAGTATAAAAATAAAATTTTCTTTATCGAATATATCCTGTTTTACCTAAAGGATGTTTGCTTTTGTCCTCTGATTCCATCAATTAGTAGGTGGATTAAAAACCGATGCTCAACGCTGGTTATATAGAGATTAAACGTACAGTATCTGCCTCAACAAGCTCCCAGTGGTTTGAGGAAGACAGACAAGAAAAAAAGACAGAGTTGAAATGCAGGATTATGATGATCTTTAGAGAGCAGGTGTGCACATAAAGGTAACAATGAGGCCTTTGTGAGATGGGGAGAAGGAAGCCTGAGGAAGTTGAAAATGACTCTGTCATAGGTAGATGGTCACCCACAGTGTGCAGGAAATAGACAGGGCAACACGAGAGAGTGGGACATGTCCCCAAGTGTGCTGGTAACCCCAGTGAAGTGTCTTCCGAGTTTCAAAAAGCCTCAGACTTAGAATAGGTGACCATGACACTTTCACAAAATGTTACGGCTAACAATACTTGTTTCCTCTAGAGCAGAACACGGAACATTGTTCTATGACCATGTCAATCTTGGGTGGTGCCACTGGGGCCCTGGCTTATTTTTCTTGGGAGTTCAAGTGAATGCATCAGTCCTCCGTTTTATATGTCCCCTTTATTCAGTCTGAGTCAGCCTCCTTCAAAATTCTATAGACATTATTGAAAAGTCAAGCAGGGGGAAAATCAAAAAGTCATGCGGTTTACCCTCCCGGAGTCCTTGGTTTGACAGAATAGCAACCCCTAAATAAAGAACGTGCAGAATCTAGACTAGCGATTTTCAACTGGTGTGCCGCAGGAATTTTTAAGACATGCAACACCCGACTATTTAGTCCGGGGCACTGACCTCTTTTCCCTTAGGTTGTCAAATAAAAAAATGGCAACAGCCAACACAACAATAGCCATCAGTGTGAATGAATGAAAATTATACCTTTTTTGGTCAGATCAGCAAAAAATGTAATACCTTGTTTGGTGTGCCGCAGAATTTTAGCAATTAGGTTATGTCTGCCATGAGATGGAAAAGGTTGAAAATCACTTTTCGGAATAACCACCGCTCTGTTTATGTGTGCCGTGAGATGGGAAGGGGGCTGAACCCTTTCTGGCGCTGCTTTTGGTCCAGTACTTTTCTCTGGAAAATAGAACAGGCTGGTGTTCTCATTGCACATAGGCAAAGTGGGAGGACAAAGGCCTGCAATATTCACTTCTGTGCTCATAATGGAGGAAAGGAAATAATCTAGAAGCATCTTTACCTACTTACTTTCTCTTATTATTTATGAGAAAAATTCTTCACAACACCGAAGATTTCTAAACCAGGGCATAGTCCTAGTAATTTTTTTCCATCAGAACAGCGATGTAGTCGGCATATTCTGCGGTACAGTCCGTTTCAAATATTTAGTCTCATTAAACCCATACACCATCTAAATGACCTGGAAATTCTCATGATACAGCATTTATATTCCATTTCACAGGCCATCCTTCTTACCCAGAAACAACATATAGAAAGTATTTGTCAGCTTTGAGTATTAATTGAATGGGGGAAATATTATCGTATATCAATATTCAATTTATAAATGATTTTTATTTTAATCTTTTTTTGCTAAAGCTAGTACCACTGGTGATGTATTAAAATTGCATAATTTTTTGGGGGAGAGAGTCTTTAAGGTGAACACTGAAGTATGTAGAAGAAATGGTATAAAGTCTGTGAATTGCTTTAAAATACTATGCAAAGGGGAGAAAAGGAATTAGGGCTGAATGAACCAAGTGTAAGAAAACCTTGCTACTTGCTGACGCTGTAATGAGTGCAGAGTCTGTCTGTTCCCTTCCCTTCTGAGTGTTTGAAATTTTTCATTAAGCCTGTAGATAACAATGTTGCCCCAGTGCTCGTGTATAAACTTATTCTCCAGAGTTTTTTAACCTAGAAATTCTAGGCTTTCTCCCCTGGAATTTATGAAATGCTTCGCAAACATGCCTGTGTACTTGGACGTTTTTGCAGAGTGGCCTGACCCCACTCCATCTGGCTGCTCAAGAAGACAGAGTGAATGTGGCCGAAGTCCTCGTCAACCAAGGGGCACACGTGGACGCCCAGACCAAGGTAGACAGAAAGAATGTGCCCACACAATGTGTCTCTTAGTGGCTCCTGTATGGACGCAAGTACAGTTCTTTAGGGGAAAAAGCAAATTCCTCCATTGTATCTTTTATACATAATATTTCCCATGTACATCTGTTCAAGGGACCCTAAAGTCTCTGATTCTGGTACCCAGATGCCTTTATCTTGAATGGCCCGGGCATTTTGTTCTAGCGGCATATCAATACCTTTCTGTGTTAGCGCTATTGGTCCTTGTCACAACAGATCCACCCTCCAAGGGCAAAGTGTGAAAACTGGTACGTTTCTTAGTTTTTGTAACTGATGTAAAAAAAGCATATTAAAAATTTCAGTAATTTGTGATCTCTAACTTCGTGCAGGCCTAGTCTATGAAAAAGGATAAATTCAATTTTATTCAGCTATTACTACTTGCTAAATTCATTATGATGTGTATGGTTGCTGGGGTCTCTCTCTCTCTCTCTCTCTCTCTCTGCCAAAATAGCTCTTCTAAGAAATAGATAGATGAATCTCACATAATGCCACAATTTTAAGCTCAGATAAGAAAATGGATGTTTAGTGTCATCATCAATGATATGACTTCATAGTCCCCTCATTTCCCTGAACGTTTTCTTTCATGCTTAATTTTGTTACCTCTGCATATCAAACTTGTTTTATCGACTCTAAAATAGAACTCTTCTATGTGTCACATTTTTTACATAAAAATGAATGCTTATTAAATATTGTTATGAATGCAGAGACTTTTGTGTGTAATATAGACAGATGCTGAGGTGTATGGACAGATAGTGAAGATGTTGATAGTAGAGGAGTATCACCAGGAATTAGCCAGGTAAAAAGGTGTGCAGACATCAAATCTAGACTGGATTTATGGGGCCGCACAGATAAAGCCAACTTTAGGTATGGCTCTGGCTCTATGGCGGTGGCTCCTCCACACATACTGTGTTCTATGAAACAGAAGCTGCCCGAGAGAGACATGACCAGGCAAGATCCTTTAAGCTTTCTAAACTGTGTTAAAATAGGAGGGGGGAGGTAGCCCTAGGCAGAGCTGTGCAAGCAGGCCAGCTCCTCCCCTCTTCCTTCTCTGAAACTCCTTGTGTCCTGGAGACTCCTTGACCCCATTTGGTGGCTGAGTTGCCCTGCTCTCCCTTCACTCTTTCCCTCCCAAACTTTTCAAATCGAAACAATCTCATTGTCCTTAACCTTGAATGCCTTCCTAGGTGGCTTGGCATTGTACAGAGAAACCACTGGTAGTGGCTGAATGGTTTCTCCTTACTTTTTTACATTTTGAAAATAAAAGCATTTTTAATTGGAGTTAGTGTATATTCATTATTTTGCTTGAATTGCTTGGTTAAAAAGAAATCTCTAGCCCTAGCAGGTTTGGCTCAGTGGATAGAGCATCAGCCTATGGACTGAAGGTCCTGGGTTCAATTCCGGTCAAGGCCACATGCATGGATTGTGGGCTCGATCCCCAGTGGGGGGCTTGCAGGAGGCAGCCGATCAATGATTCTCTCTCATCATTCATGTCTCTGTCTCTCTTTCCCTCTCCCTTTCTCTCTGAAATCAATAAAAATATATTAAAAAATAAATCTCTAGGAATTTGCAATTTCATGGTGAATGTATTCACCCTGTGTTCACTTACACACATGTGCACACTTTTTTGGCTACCTCTCTATTTTTAGATGCAAACTTCTAGAAGGCATGGACAGGGTTAAGATTCTCAATATATTTTGCCTCAAAACATCCAGTACTCAGTGAGGAGGCATGGTAGTGATTCTCAAGGGCAGGTTGGAGGAGAGGAAAGGGTGCGAGCACCTTCTGGTCTCAGTTTGCACCCATGACCCCTCAGGTTGAATCTTAGACTCTACGGGGTTTGCTCCTAACCCCTCCCCCCCCTCACTACCTCAGGTCACAGTTAGTAATCATTTTTGCACTTATTATAATATTTTTGAAGTACGTATCTTTTCTGCCCTTTACAAATGATGCACTATGAGAAACATCTCTCTGCCTCTTAGCTGTGTGGTGGTGTCTGTTACAAAATGTCCAAAATATCTGGAGTATCCTTATTTTTAAGAAATCATTGTCACCCTGCCTCAGTTGGTTGGGTGTTGTCCAGTGTACTGAAAGTTTGCCGGTTTGATTCTGGGTCAGGACACATGCCCAGATTGCAGGCTCAGTCCCCTGGTAGGGGGCATGCAGGAGGTCACCGATCGACGTTTCTCTCTCTCTCTCTCTCTCTCTCTCTCTCTCTCTCTCTCTCAAAAATCAATAAAATAAATAACAAATTAAAAATCATTGTCTAGAATACACATACACACATTATGTATTTTTAAATTGATAGAATTTATAACCCCTCAGGCATCCGTTGATATTCATCTAAGAAACAATCCAGCGCTTTGTCTAAATCGGTGGTCTTCACACTGTACTGTGGCTGGCCAGGCAGGACACTGTAACTGGAGCATGTGTACCTGGACCAGGTTCAGACTTCTCAGACCTGAGCTCACTCACAGCAGCCTCTTCAGCTTTAGTATGGCTCTGCTTCCTTCTGTCTGTCATGCATCCTGATAATCACCTACTGACTCGTATTATCATTTAGCCCCTTCATTTTGTAACCTTGATTTTACACTCTCAGAGATTAGAGTTTTTATTTATTACACTCTCAATAAATTCTAGTCAAAATCTTTCCATAGAAGTCTTCTGACCCCTCCCCAAGAAGCCACGGAATCAGCCTATCCAGGCTGCCAGTCACTTCATCTCTCCGTTCAGTCTTGAAACGTTGTTGAGACTAGAATTAGCTAATGCAAGAGAGTACTTTGGGAAGTGATATGGGTAACTATTTTCATGTGAGATGGTATTATTGTTTACACCTAAGACTAGCTCTGAGAATTATCAAGGGTGTTTTTGGTTTTGTTTTGGTGGTGTTGTTTTTATAGGGAAAAACTATTTTTGTCAGCTCAAAAAAAAAGGTTAAGTAACAATTTTGCTTCTAATTGGGATGACTGCTACTAAAAGTGTATTTATGATGTTTCTTTTTAAAAATATGTAATTACAGATGGGATACACCCCACTCCATGTGGGTTGCCACTATGGAAACAACAAGATTGTTAATTTCCTGCTCCAGCATTCTGCAAAAGTTAATGCCAAAACAAAGGTAAACTCCTTTCTCCTTTGTGTCCACCGAAATCATTGATTGTGTCTGAGGAAATGAGTCATTTCTTCCACCTTCCTTCTACAGAATGGGTATACGCCATTGCATCAAGCAGCTCAACAAGGACATACACATATAATCAACGTCTTGCTTCAGAACAATGCCTCCCCCAATGAACTCACTGTGGTAAGAGCCGAGGGCCAGCTAGGGAAAGGCAGATGGGCCTGGGCACTAGGATCTTCTCACATTTTTCATTGTGCACCACAGTTGTTTTTCTTTCCTTTCATGCATAGGCATGAGCAAGCATTCAGCAGAATGAAGGGAAAAGGAAAATACTAATAATTATGTTGTTGTGAGCTGTCCAGAGGAAGAGTTGCGATTAGTGTTTCACGCTCAAAAACTACTGATTGCCTTGCCCCCTGGTGGGAAGTACATAAGAAGAAGAAATATGCGTTTGTTTCCTTGATTCGTTAGGACATTAAGAACCTCTTGGATTCAGTCTGTAGCAGCTCAGACTCTGCTATAAGAGTAGGAACAGGTTAGGTGGGTTTCCTGCAAAGTATGTCTGATGAAACTGTTTTGCACGTGGCAATGGAATGGGCTGTGGAGACACTGGTCTTAGGATTTGTACGGGTGAGACAGGTGCACACATACAGGCACTGAGACACGTGGAATTCCTGGCTAATTCCTTGTTCCCGTTTCCCTCTTGCCAGAATGGGAACACTGCCCTCGCCATTGCCCGCAGGCTTGGCTACATCTCAGTGGTGGACACGCTGAAGGTTGTGACTGAGGAGACCATTACCACAACGGTGAGTGGTGGACGCCGGGCCTGGCTATCTTAAGACAGTGGATCTTTTAAGACGTTTCTCAGACAGTAGATCTTTCCTGGGCTTTGCAGAGATGAAACCTCTTTCCTCTGTTCATAGACTACGAGCCATGTTTCCAGAGGTTGTCACCTCATGGTTGGCACTTTAGCATAGCAAAACTCTCATCTCTGATATTAAGAAAACTTGAAAACACTAAAAATACCCCTTTAAAAGTTGCATTTGGAGCTATAGAGTTTGTCATTCCATATAAAGCTAAATGTATTTATTCATTTGGCTATTTTTTAAAAGTTTGAATGAGGTGTAGGCAGAAATGTTTTAGCATCCTTCTTTGGCACTTTAAGAAAATGGAGCATTCTGAGTTGGTTCTTTGACAATTTTTAAACTCACAAATGATTAATAGATACATTGTTAGCATTATTATAAAAATGAGATTGTTATAACATGAAACATTAGAGATAGGCTCAAATTGATTTTTACCACCACTTTCACTTGTCTTCCGTTCACCTATTGGATTTTCATAGGGAAAACAGTAGCTGCTTTATTAAAATTTTAAGTGAATCTTTACTAGGAGGCCTTATTTAGCAGATATTTCTTTACAAACTGCGGCAGGATTTGGTAACTTTGGAATCAAGAGCAGATATTGCACCGTATCAGAGGCTTATTTGAATAATTCCTGACCACATGACTCAACACAAGGCCTGGCATTGACTCTGTACATGGTAAATTTAAGACTCTGGAATACTTGGACTTACTACCTCTGCCTCCTTTTCTCATCTATCACCTTCCGTCCTGAAAGAAGGCACAGTTCACATCTGCAGACAGTTTGTATACACAGGGCTTCATAGAAAACACAGAAGTTGTTCTGGCCAGTGTGGCTCTGTTGGTTGGCTGTCATCCTGTGCAACAAAAGGGTTGCCAGTTCAATTCCTGGTCAGGGCCTGTGTCCAGGTTGCTGGCTTGATCCCCAGTAGGGGGTGTGCAGGAGGCGACCAATAGATGTTTCTCTCTCACATGGATTTTTCCCGAGGTTTCTTGCTCGCTCTCTCTCTTCCTCTCTCTCTCAAATCAATTTTTAAAAAAACATACACACACATTGGTTGAGGTGCTCTCACACATTGGTTGAGGTGCTCTTTAGCAATCTGTAAATTTGGTTATTTGACTATCTACATGCTTTAGAAACTAAATAATAAGCCTGCTAATTACAAGAGAGAAGTTTGATAATGGGTGAAAAAGAAAACAATAGCTTTAATGGAGTAGCATGATTTCTTTCTTTCTTTCTTTCTTTCTTTCTTTCTTTCTTTCTTTCTTTCTTCTTTCTTTCTTTCTTTCTTTCTTTTACTGAATTTATTGGTGTGGCATTGTTAATAAAATTATATAGGTTTCAGGTGTGCAATTCTACAATACATCATCTGTATATTGTATTGTGTATTTACCACCTCAAGTCAGGTCTCCTTCCATATCCATTTATCCCCCCCACCTTTATCTTCTTCCAGATTCCCATATGTTACTTTCACATACCTCTTGAGTGTTTCGTTATCTGATTATCTATTATTAAATTCTCAAGAAAAGAATTTAAACAAATAATGTAATATCCTTAATTTTATAGACATCTCATGTAGCTCTTTCTAGGGTGGGGAATGAGAGGAAGGAGGACAAGGTAGTAAACAATGGTGAGCTGTCACCATGCTAGATGTGAAGTCACTGCAGCAAAATCAGGGTGTCTCAAAAAATGTATAGACGCTGAAACAGCTAATAATAGCTCAATTTTAAAAATGAAATGTATTTTAATGAATACTGACTTTATTCAAAGTGTGTGTATACATTTTTCTGGAACACCCTATATATAAGACTTCTACTTCAATGTTAGAGAATGGAAACTCCTAGTACAGTTCAAAATCCAATCTAATTTGATTGAATGTAAATGACTTTGTCACCCATTCAGAAAGTTCCACGTGCTTCCTTGATACCAGAAAAGCTATAGGAGAAAATAAAGTTACAGGCAGAGAAAGTCAGGTTATAGCCTCAGGAAATCTTCTGAAAGGTGGATATCAAGGCTCAGATTCCTAATGAAGGACACACCGCATTTGGGGCCAAAGCCATTTCACACTCAACCTCATCAGCCTAGTTGGTTTCTGCCTCAGAGAGAAGACAGGAATCATGCTCACAGGAAAGATTCAGTTGGCCTAATGGGAGAAATGAGGCTTTGACTAAATGGAGTTCTCACACTGACTAGAAAAGAGTCCATCCCAGTCCCTAAGACTCAGCCCAGCTCTGGTATGTGAGACTGTATTTCAAGCTGAGACACCACCCTGTCAGCCCTGCTGCGGCAGTTACATGTGATCCAGTTTACAGGAGGATCGAGCTATTCAGGGTGGAGTCTGACCTTAAACTCCCTAAACACAGCGCTGTCTCCACCAGAGGCAGACCTTCACACAGCCAGTTACTGGGGCCCCATTGTTCCAGAAGCAAACTTTAGTTTTTAAAAATGCCTTTTAAAAAGAAAGCTGCCTTCCATAGGAGCACTGTGTAAGATGTGGCAATTCTGAGAAAGGCGCAGCAAGGGAAACTGACTATATGGAAGCTGGTATGCAGAGAGATGAATGAAGGTGTTTGTGTTGTTGAAAATACTCAATTCCCTGCATAGTAATGAGCAGAATACATCTATCACTCAGATCTGTTTCCCTTTTTTTAAATTAGTGCTTATGTTCAATCTTTTCTTTTTAAATATATTTTTTATTGATTTCCGAGAGGAAGGGAGAGGGAGAGAGAGATGGAAACATCAATGATGAGTGAGAATCATTGATCAGCTGCCTCCTTCACACCCCATACTGGGGATCGAGCCTGCAACGGGGGCATGTGCCCTGACCTGGAATCGAATTGTGACCTCCTGGTTCATAGGTGGATGTTCAACCACTGAGCCACGCCAGCAAGCCAGATCTATGATTCTGAAAGGGCGAGGGCTAGGTCCTCCATCTTGCCCCAGGGTAGGGGCTGCGTCCTACTCTGCTAGCCACACCCAGGTGGCAGAGCACAGTCCTTTCTCCTCCCCTTACTCCAACCCCCCCCCCCATAAAGCCCGTCTCTACGCGGGGGTTCGCTCTCTCAGCCACTTGGTTTGCCGTTGTGTCGGTGAGTCTGGTGGACGGGAGCTCAAGCTAGCTTGAAATACAGATTCTTATGCTTTTGCATCGGATTGGCTGGCTCCCTGATGTGGTTTCTTGGGAATCTTGAAATCTGGGCATAACAGATTCGAATTCCATTCTCTTATAAAGGGAACCAGGGCTCCTCGGAGAAATGGCTTGATCCAGCTAGAACTAGGGTAGGAGATATATAAATGAGCTGGGAACATCTGGTAGTGCCTAAAAATAATAATAATAAGGAAATATCCCCCTCCTCCACCCCAAATAAACAAGTAAATAAGTACACACACAAAAATGATGGGGACATGTCAAAGGGACACAGGAATCAATGGAAAGAGTCCCCAGTGCTGAAAGCTGCAACAGTTTGAGCAAAAATGTAAAAAAGCAGTCCTGGGGTACAGTGCAAAGTATCAAATAAATAGCCCTGAGTCCATTCTGGTAAGTAAGTGACTGGTAAGTATGGAAGAAGAGACACATTTCTCAGGCAAAAGAACTCTAATTTTTGAGCCTACACACGCTGACGGGATAGATATACTAGTAATTCCCAGCTGCTGAAGCCAGGGTTGAGCATAGTGACTTCCTTCCGAAGAAAACAGCGTGGAAGGGGCAGAGGGAATAGAGTGACTTTGCATGGAGATGCCAGGCACGCACTGCGTGAGCCAGGTGAGGAAGGCTAACGTCAACACCACCCAGTCATATTGATGGTATGTGATAAAAATGGCACTCGACCTCTGTGGTCTTCCTCTCCAAACCATATTACCTCAGTCTAATCATGAGGAAAACATGAGACAAATTCCAGTAAAGAGACATTCCACAAACCACCTGATCAGTTGGCCTCAAAACTGTCAAAATCATTAATAACAAGGAAAGTCTGAGAAAGTCACAGCCACCAGGAGAAATGACAACCAAAGATAATGTGGTATCCTGATTGGGATCCTAAAACAGAATTAGGTGGAAATTTTTTAAAAAATCTGAATATAGACTTTAATTAGTAATAGTGTCTTCATATTGGTTCATTAATTGTAATAAATGTACCATTAATTGTAATAATGTAAGATGTTAATAATAGGAGAAACTTGGTGAACTCTCTATACTATCTTTACAATATTTCTGTAAATCTAAAACTGTTCCAAATAAAATGTTTATTTATAAAAATGTTTAAGTTCAGTGTTACATGCTGGAAGAGATATGAATGAAGGTGTTTAAATTGTATTGTTGAAAATACTCAATTCCCTGAGTAGTAATGAGCAGAATACATCGATCACTCAGATCTGTTTCCCTTTTTTAAATTAGTGAATGCTTATGTTCAATCTTTACAACACAACACAGATAGTGTTTCTTAATTAGTGAATGCTTATGTTCAATCTTTTCAAATACAACACAGATAGTGCTGTATTTCAACAGGATAATTGAGGACAGGGTGTGCAGTCACATTTACCAAGAATTGGTAAGAACTGCTATAAGAAGCTGGGGCTTTTACCCTTTCTGAGTGTTAACGGTGTAGTTTTTATTTCAATTGCCTTATTTAAATGTGTACCTGCCTTTGTTCCGTAGTCTTTCATGTGCTCAGAGTTAAAAGAGGACTCTTTGAAACTAAAACATTAAGTCATTGAGATTTTTTAACAAGTAATGCTGTCGGAGTATTTGGATGGATACAGTCTCTATAGGTCAAAAGTTATCAGAGCAAGTAAGAGATTCAGCAGGGCTTTTGCCTACACTATACCGTTCTCTGATATTTTTGTAGAGGTTAAAATGATCTTGCAAATGCATTACCTCTAAAATATTTATATATATATATATATATATACACATATATATTCAGTAAATCAAGTAATTTATGCAATCTTCATAAAGATCTATTCTAGAAATTAAGATGACACAGGGAAGACAAAATATATGGCTGGCTTGATAAGTAGTGAAGACACATATTTCTTGCCATTCATTTGGTTTATCTTCAGCCAAGACATTTATTTAGTAGGATGAGGCAGCAGATTCATCAGACCAGGAAAAAGTACAGGCGATCTCTCTCTCCTCTTCCTTTGAAAAGCCTTACTAGGGATTTCAGCCTTTTAAGCTGGTGTGCTTTGTCCCTAAAGTTGTTTCACCTTGTGTTTGTTCTCAGCTGTGTATATGGTCAGGACCTTAGAGTTACTGGGGGACATCGTGATGTCATTTTATACGTGGCGGCTTTAGGATAACAACACATACGCCAACTAATAATAAGCCAACTAATTTAGAAAGAAAGAAAGAGTCTTGTTAAAACATGCACTGTCCTCACTCTGAAGTCACTGCTTTTTTGTTGTTGTTACCAGACTGTCACAGAGAAGCACAAAATGAATGTTCCAGAAACAATGAATGAAGTTCTTGATATGTCTGATGACGAAGGTATGAGAACCTCCTTTGAGTTCATAATAATTAAGTGACTGTGTATTTGTTTCCTGAAGAAAGTTCATTGCAAAAATGTTTTCAGAAACATTAGAATATGTTGTTGTAGTATCAACAGGTTACGTTTTCCACCCACTTACATTGTTCACTTAATCATGCAGTTCGTAAAGCCAACGCCCCTGAAATGCTCAGTGATGGCGAATATATCTCAGATGTTGAAGAAGGTATTTGCAATTTTTTATTGTGATGACACTTAACTACCATCTTTATCTTCCATTTCTTATCTTTGAAATGTAACACTTCCTTGAGTTACTAACTTTTCATTTTATCTTGAAATTATTAATTTATGTGTCATTTAAACAGTGCATATTTGGTGTTACTGATTATCTTCTTTTAATCTCTCTGAATCAGTTCTTGAACCCATTTTCCAGCTTAAAAATACAAGTCCCGCTAATTATCTGGATTCGTCTCTTTCTATTTGTTTCTATTAAGCAGGAAATTGATGTTTTTATTGCTTACATCTGAAAATCTCGAAAGGGAAAACTGATTAAAACTTATAGCTAAAATATTTTCAAATAAGCAAGTGAAAGTCTCTTTATAGGTAAGGAATCGGTTCCCCATTCTAAGATTTTCCCTATGCTTTTTAGCAAAAGCACCTTTTGATCTTGGACTAATAATGAAAACTCAACCTGAACGAAATTACTTTCAAAATATAAATTTTCAATATTGATTTCATGAAAGAAATAAAAATATAAATGATTATAGTTATACTTCATGTGCTTAAAAGAAACGATTTGTCTTCTGTCTTATTTAAAAATCAATATTTGACCAGGCCAAAATGTATAGATTATATTACTTACTGACATCTTTAAAAGGCTCTGGGAAACTAGCATTTTTACCATGAATATTATAAAGATGGCAAGTCATGGAGTTTTGCTGTAATAATTAAATGTTTACTTATATAATGTATGTTATGTTTAGGTTTCTTTCTTGCACCATTTGACTTTCCAAAACTACATTCCATCTATTGCTCCCTCCATTTGCCATCTTGCATGTAGTATTTTTCTCTTGAATCAGTCTTGGTGTTGCTAGTCTTTCTCTGCCTTTAGATAACTTCCTCATTTTAATTATTGTTCCTTCTTTGATTTGTACAAATTTAATTGGAAATGTAAATAGTGGAAAAATCTACCTGATCCAAAGTCACTTTAACTGTTTGGTGTACAATGGCTGCCCAGTGTTAGTCTGTGGTGGGGACCGCACACCCAGAGGACTAATTCTTGGTGGTCATTATGGATTTCGAAAGATATGTCTCATTGATTGTAAATGTTGTTTGGATAAATATTAAAGGGTTTATTCATTTTTCTTTCTTTTCCTCTAAAACATCAGCTATATGTTTATGTCCCCAAATAGGTAATATTTGTATCATCTTTAGTAATATGCTTTCCTGTCATATTATATTTCAATGCCTTCTAATGCCACATTTTCAGAGTAATTTCTGGCAGGCAGGAGAAACAAGAAAAATGATATTCTCACATAGATCTGTACACAGGCAGCCCATGATATCAGAAGTAAGTTCTTCTAATGAAATTATTATGAAATATAATATGACAATCACAGACCTAAAAATTTGCTAGTTTTTAACATACTATCCCAAAATAGCCTCACTGATGAGAAGCCACGTTTGAATGGACTATATAATTTGCCTCATTCGTGTAGATAACTAACCAAATCATTTCAAAAAAGGAGAAATTTTGCATCTCTTCATTTGAAGATTCTTGATCTAGCGGTTTAACTAGAAATGACAATCATTTCCTTTAGATGTATCTCAGTTTGGGAATTTGAAATTAATAAGAAAATTTTAATTCTCATTTTATCCATCTTCCCTTAAACACGTTGGGGTATGTGCGGGGACTGTGGGAGTCAAATGGCTTGTGATTTCATAATGTCGTAAAATTTAATGTCAAAAGGTTTTCCTTAAAAGTCACAATCTGAACAACAACCATCTAGTGCTGGAATTACCTCCATAGAACCCTCTGCTTAGGAGTTTCTTTTCCTAATGCCCCAAATGATAGGAATTCCCCAGTTTCCAAACTGCCTGTTCCACTATGAATAGCTCAGACTTTAAAGTTTCTTCTTTATTGAGTATTCTGCAGCTTCCACTCATTGATCCGGGCTCTTGATATATCTGGCACTATTTAGAACAAAATCTGCCTCTTCTATGTGACAATCCTTTCAATATTTAAAAACAGTTCTCATATTTCTTCTTGGGTTTTTTTCTCAGGGCATGTTATCACCACTTCTTTCCACTGTCCCTCACTGTCATACTCAATCTCCTGTGCACATTTTAATGTGCCTCAGGGAAAGCCATCTCGATTGAGGTGGCCTGAACTAAACACAATATTCTACATGTGGTGCGATCCCAGCAGACTGTAGAAGAGTTATTGCTTTGTCCCTGGATGATATTAAAAATCTATTATTAAAGATTAAGATACGTTTGAGATTGTAATCTACATGTAATTTGAGTCATATTAATATTACTGTCAGCTAAAGTCCCTAAATTTTGCTTATATGAGCTCCAGTAAGCTACATTTTCCCTATCATATAATACATCTTTTTTTTTTTTTTTTTTTTTTTTTTTTTTTTTTGCTGCGGAAATTAGCACTTCTATAATTACTCCAAATCCCAAAACAAGTCATTTAGAAATGTTAATTCTGAAAGGTCTCTACAATCTTAATGATAATTTTTACTTCTGACTCACTTGCCTGACAGTTTGGCCAGAACTTCACCACTTTCATTGGATTAGGGGCTGCCTGTCCAGTAAGCCCGAGGAACTGTGGCAAATGTTTATTTCCTCGAAACCACATGTTGTGAAAATGTCTCTCTACAAGCTCTAGTAAGAGATCATTACTCTGGTAACCCAGTGTGCCAACGGTATCAGCAGCTTTTTAAAGCCAATAAAAATAATAGAAGTATATGCTGTCAGTTTTTCTCAAGAAAGAAAAGATGAATGGATGTGTAAAATGGGAAAATATAATTGTCATTTTAAATTATAAAAACTGAGTGAAATATTAACAGAACAGTGGTCTCTCTTCTTTCTTCTTTGATTTCTCCTCTTTCTTAGGTCCACTTTGAGAAATTAGTATAGGGGAAAGAATGTTGGGGTTACTTTCTCCAAAAAAGGAAAACAAGTCTAGACAATGTTATCAGCCAATGACTCCAGGAACAATGGAGTCAAGTTACAGAGTAGAACAAAGGATGAAGCAGAACCCAGGAAGAAAAGGCTATAAAGCAACCTTATCTAAGGCCGGTTGTTAAGCCCAGTCATTACACAGGTAGGGGTAACAGAGCTCCTCTGTTTACAAGGGCTAGACAAGGTCACAAGTATCTTAATGCCCTCCTGTCTTCTTTCCCAGAAAATATGTTACATACATTAAAATGAATATACATACAACATTAATATCTTGATTCTAGTGCCAGTTAGATTCTTATGTTTTACAATTCAGCTTGTAATTCAAAAAAAAAGAAAAGAAGAGAGAGAGAGAGAGAGAAGGAAGAGGGTGGGAGGAAGGAAGGGGGAAAATAAGAGAGAAAAATAAAGAAAGAGAAAGGGAAGAGAGGGAGAAAGAAAATTGAAATTAAGGTTTAAATTGTCTTAGTTGAACATGGCTTTTTTTTTTTTTTTTTTAACTATCAGAGGAACATTGCACATGGCAGGCTGGCCCTTGAGCAGCCATGCCTCAGCTTCCTCCGGGTTTGCTTTTTCTGCAAGTCTGGTGTGCCCTCGGGTGCCACCAACACAGCACGGCTCCAAGACTGCAGGTTGAACACTGCTTTTAAATGATAGATTACTATAAAATGTATTTTTGTAAAACTTTTTAAAATCTATAAAATGTTATTTCAGTTTTCATAATTCTACTGGGTTGCATAGCAGGTATAAAGAACTATAGATGGGACATAAGAGAAATGGAATTAAGCCATGAAAAGTAAAACCCAAAGAGGCGGCTCTGTGAAATGTGACTCTACTGAACAGATTTATGAGACAACTGGGTGAGCAAACTTGCTGGGAGGAATTACTTAATTCTCAGGTACTTACCAATTGGATAGAACTGCAAAATCTCTTCAGGACCAAGTGCAGACACTAAATATTAAAATTAAAAGACTCTAAATACACATGTGGTAGAAGTTATTATCAAGTAGGTATGGGTTTGAGATACGATAAAGTAATAAAATTCCATCCTATATTAGAGTGGCATGAGGGATGAGGAGAGTCATGCTCAGCTCACCTTGGTGCCAAGTTCAGTGCCCAGTAGAAGCCACAGCAAATTAAAATGCACAGATTTCAAAGACCGGAAAGGGCTGGGTCAGTTTCATGTAGCCCATGCTCTTCATTATGCTCATGAGGGAGCAACGCCCAAATACATGTTGAGTGGCTTGTCCAGCCAGGTGATACCCTGGTCTGGCAGAGCTAGACAAGGAGACAGATCTGACTGTCTGTGGTTTTAGATGATCTCTTTCCCTGATACTCTAACATGATCTGTTTTCTTGTCTATAGGACCCAAGAATGAATTTTTAAACTTCTTTTTGTTTAATTTTTATTTATTGACTTGAGAGACGAAGGGAGAGAGAGAAAAACAACAAAAAACAATGATTTGGTGTCCCACTTATTTTCTTGTATGTGCCCTGACCGGGGATTAAAGCCACAACCGTGGCATATTGGGACAGTGCTCTAGCTGACTGACCTACCAGGCCAGTGCTATTTTTAAACTCCTTTAAAAAAATGTGGATAGGTAAGGGAATAAATAATGCTCTTCAAAATTATCACAAGGTAATAAGAATTATTTTTGAAAGGCCTTAATGAGACTATAATAGAAATATTATCCCTTCGTCTGGCCTTCTTGGCCAAAGAAACATGCTGACCAAGGTGCAAGGTCGAGCAAAAGAAATATAAACATGATTTAGAATACACTTTAAGAACCAAAAAGCAAGTCATTTTAGTAAATATTAATCCAAGTATTCTCAGGGGAGAACAACTAGAATTTTACTTGGCACAATCTGGAAGTCAAAAAACTAGGAGAAATTACTTTGGGGAATATTGAAGCTGGATGTCAAGAAAGGCACCAGGAAAGTACCCTTCAGGACCTCTCCTGCCTGGGACTGACCTGCTATCCTAATCTTGACATCCCAATAGCTAAATCAGACTCTTATGGTTTTAGTTTTCTAGGTC